TTCCCTATCGTCCGCCATTGTCATGGTTTCGACGAGTCGGAACGATAACAGACGACAGATCATTCTTTAAATTGCATACAACAATAATACCTTCAAATACGATACACACGATTTCGACGACGTTAATAAAACAAATTAAATTCTACTGACAAAGAATCCGAAGAATCGCAAATAACAAAAAAATAATATTAATTCATTTTTTGCCCGAAGTGATTTATCGTCTTGTTTATTCACAGTGATACTTTCCCCGCTTAAATTTTAAATATGTAACTTTTTGCTAATATTTTTATCATATGATCGTTATTTTTCTTGCGACATAGGTTTCAATGTGTACACCGTATATGAGAAACCATATGGTATGAATGTGACAATAAAGTCAGCAATTAAAACTTTATACTACACAGTACACGCGTATAGGTTAGGAACCATATATATACGTAATAACTTCCCTTCGTTCGTCAATTTTTGTATCACATTTAACGGAGTGATATGTTTTGCAAACTATGCCTCTTCCCTAATTTACAACGAAATTACGTTTAATACCACGCACATCGTAAGAAAGAAGACACGCAGTCGGTACAAGCCACGAAATAACTCACTGTTCCGCGTTGTTCGCGAATAATCTATCGCGAAGAGTCCCTTTTACGTAAAACCGTTATTCTATAATCAATTATACGCGATACACACAGCCCGAACCTTCAAAGTATGTTCCAATACGCATATGTGGTAAAACACGATAAATCCGATGATGAATGCGTCACAAAATCAACGTTAAATATTCGATACTATCTATCAACGTTTAAAGCTGTCCAAAAACATACGCCCTCGATATATCGCACGTCGATGCACCGCGAACAAATCGAATCGAATCGAAAGTGAACGAATACGTCGAGCGGCCTGAGAGTGGAATATCTTGGATCTATTCGGCAAATGCATTCTACATACATCGAAGTTATCGAGGTAATCGAAGACGTTCACCGAACCCGGAGGCATTGTCGCGCACGCGATCGAAGCAATACTTCGTATATAGATGGTGTGTATATACGTATGTGTGGGAGTGTGCATCAACACGGTGTGCCGAAACACAACTTCTCCCTAGTTCGGCTGTGATCGTACTAAACAGAGAAAGGAGATTTCGAGTGGCGGCGGCCGCGCGTCTTTTCGGTTGAGGAACGTGACACGTCGTGCGTGCTCGTGCGTATTCGTACTGCGACTCACCGGGTAGGGAGAGAACCCGTCGAGTAGGACCACCCAGCGACGAGCGCCACGTCGG